ATGTAAAATACAATATGGAATGTATATTATTGGTGAAAAAAATCCTGGTTTATAAACATTTCAAAACAATTAATGACATGTCAATTGTATATCAGATGGACATACAGTACTGTACTTGGCTATGAAAATCAAGCAGGGTTATTGTCCTGTAGTTCACGAGGCAGATTAATACACTGGCTGATCCATTCATACATTCCCCACTGCTGTCTAATAATAATGATCATTTGAGTTTAAAATCATACATCTGATGCCAGGGCATATCACAGCACTTTACACACTATCAGCGACTCCCATATCAACAGCTCATCTCAACATTTTGAAAGGGCACCCCCAGTGGCAGCTGTCCCTTTGCCGCATGAGGTGACTCAGCACCTGGCCTGCAAGCGGGCCGGCAGTCTACCAGTGGGGGGGGGGGATGATTGGTATGTGTGATATCAATTGAGTAAATTGTGGGTAATTTTCTAAATTGGCTAATTTTGACGTTAACGCCAGCACACAATGGCCCGTGAGCGAGCACAGCAATAACCCACGGGCCACCCTCTTATGAACAGGTTATTGAATATTATGAAAGAAATAAGCTCAATATTTTACAGGGGGGACAGAGAGAGAAGGTGGTAGCACGATAGAGGTGCACAATCTGTGGCACACACGCCGTCTAATCCAGGAGAAATTTGGGACATGCCTGACCCGCGTTGGGAAACTATTGGCAATGCATTACAAATTCTGTGACGGCAGCTTCGAGCTATATAGCTCAATGGGTTTTACCTGGTTGAATATAAATCTTTTACAGAAATTTGCCACTCCATTTCTGCATCAAGATCTCCTTAAGCCATATAAAAATATATACCTTTTAAAAACTTTTTTTTTATATATATATTGAACAGGATACAATTTCAAACTTTTCATATTTTGCCCAATAAATGCGTTTAGGACGTGGCGAATACATTTTAAGTCAAAATAAACTACTCGTGACAGATTCCATCCAATTAGTTATGCCACTACTGAAAAAATGTATCAGAATATACAAACCATAGTAAACCACTGCAGCAGAGGCTGTTAAAGGTAGCACGATAGAGATTCACAATCTGTGGCACACACGCCGTCTAATCCAGGAAAAATTTGGGACATACGTGACCCGCATTGGGAAACTATTGGCAATGCATTGCAAATTCTGTGACGGCAGCTTCGATTTAAAACGTAAAGAAAACGGACCAAAAATCTGTAAGAGCTGAGCAGAATGTGTCGCACGAACAGGTTGCAATGCTTAACAGCCCTCGATTACAATATATAATTGTATCATATCTCCATATTATACATGAATTACCTGGTACGGAAAGTGGTTGTAATCTTGGACAAGTTTAATCAAATTACATTACAATTCAGTACTTAGTGTATATATACTGCCAGAGGGGGTGCACTGCAAATGTAATTTGGTGAATTGCTTGTGCTTGGATAAAGTGCCCCTCTATCTTCCAACCTTTTCAGCAAGTGGAGAAAATTTGCTCCTTTTGAGATGTAGGCCCTCTTCGTGAATTGGGCATGCCCATTGTGTGGAAGGCTGATATTTACCAATTTAAAAAAAAAAACTAAATCTGCATGAAATATTTTCAGAAATAAAGAGAGAAATACAATAAAAGTATCTGCTTTCTAGAGATGCATATACTTTTATTGTATACAAGTTTCTCAATTCACATGCATAATTTGAGTGGCTGCTTCGCCTACATGTCCCATCACCATTCTGTTGAGTAAAACACATTTTTACTAAATAATATGGACACTAATTCCAATGTAAAAAAATAAAGTATATGTTGGATTTTATGCAATCAAATAGCCATATGAGACGTTGCTCGTGTACGTGCCAGTGCTTTTATTCAACTCATTAACAATTAATGCCATGCATTTACTTTAACTTAATATTAATTTTATATACTGCAAATAAAATAATCCAAACGGTGCATATGTATGGGCATGCATGTGGGTTTTTTAGTGTCGTGAATCTGACAGTCACATATTTCCATCTTTAAAAAATATTTCCCACGGAACATACTGCTACAGGGCTGGAGTAAACACAGATGTGGAGACATTGAGATATGTGTGTACAATAAAGAGTCAGGGGAAGGGGTGCATGACCAACGGATGTCGGATGTGCAGCATAACCACACAATCACCGGGTGCCTACATAGTTTGGGTCAAAGAAAAAAAATCAGAAGCTGTTCCATTTCCTGATGTTCTTAAAGGGAATTTGACCATGCTAAACCTTTTTTTTGTAAATGTTACCTTTACAATGAAAAGTATCCCAGAAACTGCATGTCACTGCCACTTAGGGAAACATAAAAATGATAAATGTATACTTTTTGAGTCTTTCGGTAAAGTCACGTAGATAGAAAAAAACATTTAAGACCCAAAAACTATGAATTCCGATAGTCACGAAAGCTTTGAGTCATGATAAATGTATATGCAGTATACTGTACGTACTGTAGATGGAAAATAAGTTAGGAGGAATTTCGGTTATTCTGTTGTGTTTATTAACATCTACCATTCTAAGATGTTTATCAGAATAGAAGGCAGTAAAAATAAATTTCTCTATACTCTATTAGTTACTTATCACATGTACTTCACCATAATTAAGTAAATATGTGTCTCCCGCATGAAACTTAAACAACACAGATTCATATAAAAGTTATTTGGAAAACTGATAGAATAAAATGCTTTGGGCGCCACTGGTGGCGAGATGTTAACTACCTCGCCTGGTATACAGGAGGTCGTGGGTTCAATCTTGACCCTGACGCCTGCTGTATATTTGGAGTTTGCGCGTTCTCCCCGTGGTCGCGTGGATTTTCCTCCAGGTCTTCCAGTTTTTCTTCCACATTTAGAATCATGTGTTTCGAGTATTTGGTTGCTATACATTTCCACATGATAAGCCCCTTCATTGAGCTATCATTTGTGGCCAGGTTGCTTCTGAAAAATAACTATATAGCTCAATGGGTTTTACCTGGTAAAATAATAATCGTTTTACAGCAATTTCCCACTCCATTTCTGCATCAAGACCTCCTTAAGCCATATAAACATCTTTACACTTTTGAAACATTTTTTATATATTGAACAGGATACAATTTCATACTTTTCACATTTGCCCTATAAATGTGTTTATGATGTAGCGAATAAAGTTTAAGTCAAAATAAACGACTCGTGACAGATCCCATCCAATTAGTTATGCCACTACTGAAAATAAAATCTGAATATACAAATAACAGTAAACCAAATTTTGATTTAAAGCTTTCGTGACTGCAGTAATTCATATTCTTAGCTCTTTCGGTAAAGTCACGTTGAAGGGAAACAATAAAATATATATAAAACAATAAAAATAATATATTTTATTGTTTCCCTTCAACGTGACTTTACCGAAAGATCTAAGAATATAACAGTAAACCACTCCAACAGAGGCTGTTCAAGATCAACATTTCCGTTTTGCAAAACACTTAGCTACTCAAGTAAAGTGAATAATAAAAAAAAATGGGCAATTTCGATTCAAATCAGATCAGGTATTTCTCTCACACTTGAAATATCTGAACGAAACTGAAAGACCTCGTGTGCCCTCTGTTGGCGTGCATGAGTATAGCAGGCTGATATGCAGTTTAATTTTTTACCTACGTGACATAACCGAATAGAACCAAAGAATATGATATGCAGTACTTCGTACACATACGACTATTATTGGCTTAGTGTGGCGGACTGCTCTCCATGGTCGCAGCAAAAGTGATTGTAGTTTAAAACGGTGACGTTTATTTTGCTTCCTATTATGCTGCGCCGAGTTTATCCTTCCAATGTGGAAGCCCTAGAATGCGTGGCAAAGGGGCCGTCCATAAATGACGTCACGCACCTTGGTGGGGGGGGGGTCAGACGTTTGTGACGTCATATTTGAGGAGGGGGGGGGGGTCTGACTTTTTGTGACGCCGTGTGACTAGGGGGGGGGGGGTCTAAAATCGTCCAAAATCGCGTGACGTCATTTATGGACGGCCCCAAAGGGCTATTTGAACTTTCATGATTAAATTCCTGTACTGGTGCCAAACTAAAAACGGATTTATTTATTTCTTTCAACTTGATTGTTAATCGAGTTGGTGTGAGTAACCGCACACACACTCATTACGTGATTGGTGTGGAGCAATGTGACTAAAACCACGTGGAGCATTATGTGGGGGGGGGGAATCAGAATTAAATCCTGTCTCCACACAAATAAAACATGTTTTAGTCCATCAGCCATATTTTCAATGGGATACTGCCAAAAATATGTTTTGGTGGTAACTCAGCAAGCAAACAAACTCTGGACTGGTGTTTGGCTTTTTGGAGGCGTCTCATCATCAGAATCAGAATATGTATTTATACTGGAGGAATCCGATGAGCCATAAAGCTCTTTTTTCACAGATGTTCAGGTCATCAGAAGTAGATTTATTAAACAAATGCTACCGGATTACCAGTCTGACACAGCTGATGAGACCCAGAAGGTCAAACACCAGTCCAGAGTTTTTCTTGCTTAAAACCAGATGCTGCCGTATTATATCGATGTGAAAGTGAAATAATGATTTGCTTGTGTTGCAATCATCAGCTGTGGTTTTCACACCTGATGATGATTGCTTGTGTTGCAATCGAAACGTCGTTGAGAATTTTATAGTTTTATTTTTACTATTTTATTATTTCCCTTCTACGTGACTTTACCGAAAGAACCGACAATATAATTATTGAAGTGTTTTTTTTGGTCGTTTAAAACAATAAGCAGGAATTTCTTCAACGCCGTGCCACGTGTACTGGGCACGCGACCCGCCGTTGCCGTGGCGACCGCCGCGTGCGTTGCTAAGCGACGGTCGCGTAAGTTGCTAGGCGACTGTCGCGTGGTCGAGACGGCAACCGCCGCCTCGAGCCACGCTGCGCTGCGATTGGGCGTTGAGAAATCCCCGCCGTCGAGCCAATAGCAGACGGCGTTTCATGCGAGGCGCGGCACCCGCCAGCCAATAGCCAGCGCCGTAACGGAACCGCGCAACCGCCGACAGAACCGCGGCGATCGCCGAGTGGACATTTAAATGTCCGCGTTACTTTGAAACGAAAGAAATTGTAATTTTCGTTTTTAAACAAATACAACGTTTTTTCAGTTTGCGACGATGGTAATCGCTACCGTTAAGACATTTTAAACCAACATATTTAGCCTGATTAAAATATATATATCATGTGTGTTCCTGTTGTGAATTTCACCCGGCGTCGTCAATACGTTATCGCTGTCTGTATAGAAACCCTATTGCCTTCCACCGTGTCGTGTGGCATTGAGATAACTGTCCTGTATATTTTATATATATTGCGGTCACTGCATTTTATAAGTTGTATCGTCTTATGTGTGTTTTATAAACATGAATGTAGTGTGTTGCACAATGCCATGGATAGTGTAATAAGAGTGCTGGACCCACCAGAGGACAGTGCAGACATCCATTGCTGGGCTGTACTTCTATGCTCCCGCGCCTGTTCTCTTCCCCGGCCTTCAACATTCACTAACCAGAGTGGTGAAGTATGGTCAAATAAGCCCCAAGACCCGCACGGCTGTGGGTTGTCAACCAGCCCAGCAGTGGATGATTGAGGGCCCTACCATGAGTCTACTAAAAGCTATATTTTAACATGATGTTATACTTTTGAGCTAACAGTTTCAGCGGTGTACCAGCCTTATCGCATTACCTTTAAGAAGATAAAAGGTTTATATCATCTGTATGCAGCGGTTTAAATTATATTTGTGTACATTTTTCCTGTGGATACATCAGTATTCAATAACTTTGCAATATAGAAATGACTCGTTTTTTTGCTGGTTTTGCAACAAAAGTTGAAAAACCAGCAATATTTGTTTTTTTAACATCAAATACATTTTGAATAGAATCGATTGTTTTCTTTATAACTGATAAAAAATATATTAATTTATACTTAAGCGTTGTTGCGGTTATTTTTCACACTATACAAATGTTCGCATACCAAAGCATCACACAATGGTTATCTCTTATCATCATGATCAATTCACAGGGTCTTTATTCTGCAATTTGTAGCAGTTGAATATCCTTGTTAATTCCCCTTTATTGAGTTGGAATTAACCCTGGGAACAGTAGCTCATTAATTAGCACACTGACCACGAGGCTACCTTAACTGCAAATAATCAAAGTTTACACAATGGCATGTGTTTTTTAATGGAATATATCTGGCTTCGTTGTGAGTGCAGAACGACGACGCAGTTGTGACCGAGAAAAAGGACGTATCCAAGGCAGAGATTGTCCTCTCATTCTCCCAAGTGGAGTCCCTTGCCACACTGACTCTGGAGGAGGTGCAGACGTAAGCAGCTACGCTTTTTGTCAACTATTTGAGTGTAATATAAGAATATGTTTTACCCTCTCTGGAAATAAAACAGGCGTTAAGATATAGGAATAGGTTTTACCCTTTTAACTGGCACAAAAACTGACACCTTTATTCAAGGCATCATGTTTGCAATAACCACAACACAAGCAGTAAAAATGCAAACAAAAGAGAACTCTGATAATAATATGCACTGTCCTTGATTTTGATTGGTCCACACCCGAGACGGCTTTTCTTAGAGCCTAGTCTCCATTGGTGTTGGACCAGAAGACGCCAAAAGGCGTACAACTCAAAAACAGCGCACTATCAGAGTATTGAGGGCTCGGGGTGAGCATTTACATTATGAGACCTCCTTTGCCAGAAACAAGATATAGGAATAGGTTTTACCCTTTTAACTGGCACAAAAACTGACACCTTTATTCAAGGCATCATGTTTGCAATACAACACTGCTTGTGTTGTGGTTAAGATTTTCTTGGTTCTTTCGGTACAGTCACGTAGAATGGAAATAAAATAATAAAAATAAAACATAATAAAATAAAATTCTCACGACGTTTCGGCCACAACACAAGTAGTCTTCCCAGCTTAAAAGACGCTGCGAAGCTTAGCAGCATTCATTGAAGCGCTGTTGTTCTGACAGTTCTGTTCCGTCCCCTGAAGAAGGCTACTTGTGTTGTGGCCGAAACGTCGTGAGAATTTTATTTTATTATGTTTTATTTTTATTAATTTATTGTTTCCCTTCTACGTCACTTTACCGAAAGAACCAAGAAGATGAATCCCTGCAGTCACGAAAGCTTTAAGATGTTAAAACACCAGACAGAAACCTATTGCAAGAAGTCATGTCTGCATTAACCAAAAGAAAAACATGCTCTGGTAATATATGTATTGTATTTGAAACTGATTGGTTCACACCAGAGACAGCTTTATTTAGAGCCTAGTCTCGAAAAGTGTTAGACCAGAGGACGCCGAAAGTCGAACAGCACAAAGACAATGGCATTATCAAGACACTGAGAGCTCGGGGTGAGCAGCTACATCATGGGATCTCCCTTGCCAGTATCAAAATATAACAATATTTTTACCCTTTCTGGCAATAAAACAGGTGTTAAGATGTTTAAACAACAAACAGAAACATTTTGCTATTCGCCTTTTGGCGTCCTCTGGTCTAGCACCGTTTCAGACTCGGCTCTAATTAAAGCTGTATCTGGTGTGGACCAATCAGTTTAAAAAAACAATGCATATATTTTCAGAGCATGATTTTGTTTGCAACTATATGAGGCCCACTTCATACATTGGTGCATGGGCAAATTCTTCCACTTTTTGTTTGAAATAATAGAGGCTTGCGACAGGTAGCTTTTATGTCATATGTTAATGAAAATATGCCTTTCCACTACATTCACTGCTCCCTTTACCATTGGAAGAATACATTGCGTGTACATACGGTACTTTATGACGTATTTGTAAGAGGGTTCTGCTTTGACATGTTTGGCCAGATTTAAAGGAAACGAGAATGTTTGGAAAAGTCCCCCAAATACATTGAGTTACCCTTAGGGAGGTATGATAATATTTGTGATTCAACAGAGAACCCATGTGTCCATATCAGTGTGATCCACCAATGCCACCACCACATCTCAAGTTGTAATTGTTAAAATTTTATATGAATGCCACTGCATAGCCGGGTTGATGTTTTGTATTGGCTTGAAATGCATTTTCCCCCCTTATGTGTAGTGACATGTGAATAACTACAGCACTTTAAAGCTCATGAGATTTCCAATGGCAGGGCAATGAGATGACCTGTAAAAGACAAAGCCACTTATTGACCGACCTATTCATGCAGATTTTAAGCATCGTTTCCTCCTCGATGTGTTAGTTCTCCTCGATGCGTTCCAGTTTTGCTACTGCGTAGGTTTTTTTCCAATTGTGCTGCATAGCTCTGATGTGTTTTCCGGTATAATTCAAATCCAGTTCCTGAAGAAGCTCCCAGCACTTGGAGCGAAACATCGGACAACATGCCAAACAACACCCGGTACAACCGGAAAACGCAGCAGAGGGTTCTACACAGTCAAAGATACTTTAAAAGCAGGACTCTCCTGAAAAACTGTCCCGAGATTAGCTAAAAGTAAATCTAATAAAATATGTGTCGCAAAGTTGTTATCGTGATTTGCATGTATTGAACTGAGAAACTCTGCAGGCATCTGGCGGAGATGCTGCACTTGCGTGAGCACGAGACATCCCTGCGCGAGGCGGCATTGCTGGATGTGTACGTGTCGGCCTATCGCTGGGCTCGTGAACACGGATTCTCATCGCAGCAGATCCTCTACGTTGTCACCCTCTTGCACACTCTGCTGCAGAACATAGAAGGTGAAGAGGGGTATGGTAGAACTATGTCCACTCGTTGATCTCATCATCAGCAGCAGATATTTTTTTTATCCACTGTTGCATGAAGATTTCCCCAAGCTGCCACACATTTCATGGCCCTGTGATATCATTACCTGGACATGAGCTGTATTTATGCAGCTGCATTTATGCAGCATACCTTGACCAAGTAGCTCGGGTATCTGGCAACACTGCAGAGCTTCCCTCAGTGAACTTGTATTACTTGCCTTAATATGAACCAGCTTCAAAGGTGGAGTGAGTGTTGATAGTCTTGGCTTGGTCACAGGCATTCATAATTATTGCATTAACACCTTGACTCGTTCAAATGCCCACATTCCATTGCTTTCAGCACTGTAGATTTTAATAACATCTTGAAGTGTTTTGTAGGGGAGCCAAAATGAATACTTCATTCACATCACAATTCAAATGTAAATTATCATGGCTGCAGATGGAAGTATTTGGTTTTATCCAACAGTGTGGTAGAATGATTACTATATGCTGAATCTCTCGTCATAAGCTTTGGCGGATTGCAATCGCACCAACTTTAAGATGTTTTGCCTTTCAGAATCATTAGAATAGACATGGCTCATTGAGTTAGTCACTGTCTTCTCTAGCAGATGTTAGAGATATAACAATTCACCCAACGATTTTATGAATAGTCACGATTCAAGGTCGTGATTCAGTTCAAGAGACACTATACATACAGTCCCCGGGTTGCGGAAGACCCGACATACAAAAATCCGACCTTATGGAAATGCTCCCATAAATGATGTCAAAAAAATTCATTATGCGGAAATGTTTGCGTTAGTTACATAAGCCCAAGTAGTGCAGCACGGTGAGGTTGCAGATGAATACTGTGGAGCGAGGCATAAGGCCGGCAGCCATACACCTCACTCGAGCTTCACTAGGATTAAGGTAAATGGAATTGATCTTGATTTTGGGGGAAAATTGTTCAGTTTCCGACATACGGAAAATTCGGGTTACGGATTGTTCTCGGGAACCTAACTCTTCCGTAACCCGGGGACTGTCTGTACGTGATCCCATCGCATACAACATGATAAACAAATGTTGGGTTCTTTAAAGTAATTGCATACATGTGTCATATATTAATTGATGCATTTGTACACCAATGCCAAATGTCCAAACATCGTATGATGCTATTTAGTGGGATGTGTTTAACAGCCTGTTATTTCCACACAAAAACACGTTAAGCATTCAGTATATGCATTTTTTTCACTAAAACTATTATGCATTCTACATTCCGAAAATAATCTGCGTTGTCGAGTTCAGATGAATCTGGACAAAGTGACGTGGCTGTACACAATGTACTCCCTTGTTTGCTCTTGTATTTGTTTGCCTTCGCAACAAAAAGAACAAGAACAAAATAATAAAATTAAAACATTTCATTGCTCATGTATATCAAATTTTAACAGACACACATTTTTTATTTTGTGTGTGATGCTGTAGTGTCAAGATTTAATTTTAAAAATACCAACAGTGATATGACGGAATTTAGAATACCTGTGGTGACACCTCATATTTGGCCACAATTGTTGGCCTGTATATGGTCACAGAAGTGTGTAACGTCGCTGGAATGTTACTGCAGCATAACTGGTTGTAGTCGCTATGGTAATTTGATGCTCACAAGTGTAATTTCCAACTAATGATGTTCATAATAATGATCATACGGTCATCTGACATTAAAACACAGTGTTTTTTTTTGTGCAGTTCAAACAAAAGATTGATGTCATAAGCCACAAGCTAATAGTAACGAAAATAATGTGATGTGAACAGTCGAACACCAAACGCACCACACCCCAATATGTACATTGCATGCAGTGTGTTTGTTATTTACTTTGCAAGTTTTAAACATAATAAAGGAGAGGATGTCTCATTGCAGAGAGGCGAATGAAGCTCGTGGAAAATTTGAAGGCATGTTCACGGCAACTGGTGGGAGTTGGCTGTGATGACTTGGCGTGTCTCAGCCTGGAGCAAGGAAAGCTTGTACTAGGTTACCTAACCACCAGGTACATTGTTTCCTTGCATGAAAAATCCAACATTGTTTATGTAATTACAGATAATATTGATTGTTACCTTCATTTATATAATATGTTTACACATAGGCAAAAACATACATTAAACACTTTTGACCAATATTCCCTATTCGTGGTGATTTGTTACAGAATACTGTGGAGTGAATAATGCATTTTTTTCTCTTTATAATGCATTTGCTGCCTACTTGCAAATACAAATATTAATTGTGTGCTGCTGTGTGACAAGTCTTTTCCAGCACTACAGACTATATGAATTTGTCTTCACACAGCCACAAGATGTGGTGATCATTGACTCGCAAGTGAGTAGGATGGCAAAAACCAGTACTGCTGTTGTTGTTCTCATCTTTAACCATTGTCTACTTTAGTGTTTGTCTCTTCCTTCTGAGTTTGTTGAATGCTGAAACAGGCGTTCAGGACTATGTTATTACTGTTGTACATACGTGTAATCGTAATATCACCCACATGGCAACATTTGAAGCAATTGGCAGGACCCCGGGGTCCCATCGCTGCCCCGGGGTGGGAAAAACCGCGTAGCGACACGAGTCTTGCCTTACCGACAACAAAACTAGTGTCAATCGATTGGCCTCGTCGAGAGCTACTCGGGGCACTAAGTTCCGTAAAAAGTTGAAAAATTACATAAACACGTTAAATTCACTGCCTGGGGGGCGGGCTCGCCTTGGCAAAGAAGCTGAGGATCGACGGCTGACCGGAGGGCGTCGTCGCCGCACGCGACTGCGGCGGACGCCCCCCGGGGCTTGCGTTTGGCCGGTGGGGTGGCGCCCATCGTGTTGATCGCCGCCTGCTGCTGGCGCTTGTTGGCAAGAGTCTGGGCGGGCGGCGCGTTGCTGTGGGGTCACGAGTGGGTGGACTGAAAAATAAAAATTATTGACCTGATTTTTGCGGGACCCCGGGGTCCCGCCAAATGATTCATTTGTGAAACCTACTGGACATCTGTGAGCTTTATAGATCATCGGATTCCTCCTGCAGTACAAATATTCTGATTTTGACGTGCTCACATTGAACTTGTTACGATTTTCCCCCGGTAATTATAATTTGACTGATTGCCATGTTCCAGGGTTACGATCTTATTTTGTTTTTATTTCTCTCACATATTTACCGTGAGCGTGCATAAAATGGCACGAAAACTCCTCTTATTTGTGAATATTGCATACAGAAATGTGAACGTCACCACGAACCAAATTTATGTTGCTAGGATGTGCTTTTCCACAACAGAATTATTTTGAAAGTGCACCTTACGTTTGCATTTGGGTAATATAAACATACAAAAATACACACTGCCTCACACGTGGGTATAAATATGGCATGTCATTCAGCAATGGTGATAATTGAATAATAATTATTATGTCCTTTATCTTATATAAGTATCCTTGCTTGTGTAATAATATCCACAATCTTTACTCTTGGTTTTTATTTAAAAGTTACAGTCACATTTATAACCCTCGGGCAACTACCACTAATGACTAGTTATGCAACACATTTTATTACACCTTTTTTATACAAAAACATTCGTAATTTTTAAAAAATGTCAGGTCATTTGGGCTTTGCATTTTATTTTTTCCAAATTCTAAGGTGCTTTTTTAAAATGAAACAAAGTGTTGATAATGCCTGAAGATGCATTCATCCTCATTATTTAATAACATAAGGGGGGTGGGAGTCGTTGTTACACGCTGTTTTACTTCATCCAATTATGAACTTCCTCCTACGCTTTGTGGTAATAGTGACTCAGTTTCAACTGTAAAGCAGTGATTCTCTATAAGTATACATATTAAGTTGTAAATATTTAGATACGTTGTTAAATGAATGGCGAAATGCATTATGTTGATAACGCGTACAGAAAACAAAAATCCGTCTCGTTCAAATATAACGTCCGCTGTATATGCTGGTAGCAGCGAGTGGTACACGGACAGTTGAGAGTGCACACAGCTTAAAGGTCGTGGTCTGAGCTTGGCTCTATTTCACTCCAGCGCAGTCTTCGAGACAGTCTGGTCCCTTCACCTGATGAAGGCCGCTTGTGTTGTGGCCGAAACGTCGTGATTTTTGTTGTTTTCTTTTTTTTACCTACGTGACTTTACCGAATAGAACCAAAGAGTGTGGATCCTTACAGTCACGAAAGCTTCAAATGTAGAATATAGCAGTGTTCTTCATTCTCGCCGATAAGACATCATCACATTTGAAACCCCTGGTCGGGTTTGACAGCAGCATGATGATGGGTGGGGGTGTTGTTTTCACTTTTGCGTGTTGTCCGGTGGGGGGCGCCAATGGCCCGCGGGCCTTTCAATGAAGAACACTGGCAGGGAAATCCAGATTTGAAGTTTTCGTGACTGCAGGGTTATCCATACTCTTTGGTTCTCTCGGTAAAGTCACGTAGTAGGTATAAAGCTAAATAAATTAAATCACGACGTTTCGGGCGCAACACAAGTGCCCGTCATCAGGTGGAAACAACCACAGCAATAAACAATTGCTGAAGTGGGCAAAGGGAGGCTGCTTGTGACACGAGGGGGGGTGGACAACACTGGGGAACGTGATCAACAAAATTTGGGCACCACTGCTTTGAAGAGTAATTGGGCTGCTATTCCAGGCAGTCTTTGATAAGACAAAAGTAAACCCACACACTGCTTCACCGCATGCGGTCAACCCCCATCAACTATACAAAAGATTTCGATTTAAAGTTTTCGTGACTGCAAGGATTCATCTTCTTGGTTCTCTCGGTAAAGTCACGTAGAATGAGAATAAAACAATAAAACAAAATAAGACAATAAAATTCTCACGACGTTTCGGCCACAACACCAGTAGCCTTCTTTATTGTTTTATTCTCATTCTACGTGACTTTACCGAAATAACCAAGAAGATATATGAAAGATAACACATTTTTCAAATGCAACAATAAATATTTGCCGGAAGATTACTACCGCATTATGCGACCCTGTGCTTATCGTTAAAAAAGGTAGCCTGTATACCAGAGAAAAAAAAACGTTGAATGTGCAGTAAGTATAACCGTGCGTGGTTGAAAACTAAAAGTGCAACATTAAGGAAATAGTATCGTACATTTCATAGCATGGGGATAACATTACAGTACATAGTATAGCGATGAATGTGTGTGCTCAAAATTCACGTGGGGGGGGGGGGGGGAACGGAGGGGGAGAGGGCGGGGGAGCAGAAACTACAGTAATATGGTGAATGGTGGTAGTGTTTATGGACATTCTTTTAGATCGGCTCGGTTCTCAGTGGTTGAATTATTGTCCAGATGTCAGCACAAGAAGACCACGTATCTGACTAATAAGCCTGTGTTGAATTTAATATACGAAACAGAGCACGTGCGTGTGGCTGTTTATATAATACGGACAGTCGAACATAAACTATGAGCTTTCTCCCTCCAACTGATCTCGTTTATTCCATTATATATTTTACTTCTGTTTTTTTGGACCTTTAGCACGTATACATTGCAGCGTCTATTCACGGTTTTATTTTATGTTGTAATTGGCACCACTTTCGGTTGTTTTATACTGCCAGCTGATTTTAAACATGCGTTCTCATGTTCAATAGTATGGCCCATTTGGATATGTTTCTCATTAATTTATTGTACAGCATGTTAGAAGGTTACAAGTTAAACCTATTTAATACTTGTGCCCATGTTGATGATAACAGTATTTTGTATTTTAATACATGTAATTTCACCAAAGTTTCCGTAGCTTTGACAATGGCACTTCGATGTTGCATAAGCCGTGTAAAATATTGACGTATCCTGCAATACCATTTGTACAATTTGTTTTTTTTTTCAAAATCTATCCAAATCCATTTTTGGCTAAAACTGGAAAAGCAGGTACAGTGCGTCGTAGTCACATTACGACTGTTTACATTTCAGATTGAAAGGAAACCAACCGACCATGTTGAAAAACTTGTAAAGTTTGAGGGTGACTTCATGAACATTTGTAAGAGTATGTTAGAGTGTTGAATGGTGTATTTTGTAATTAGTTGGTGGAGCTCAAAATGTGGCGCTCGCATGTACGTTGCATTTCTTTCGCACCATACGTAGCCAGCTAATCTTTTTTGTTGTTGTACTGCCTACTATCAGTGTGATGAATGAACACAAAATTAGTTGTTTGGCTCCTGTGTACTCAAGATGATACCCACGTCTCCCATACAGAGGACGTATTTTATCAGAACGAGATATCACCCGCTTCTAAGTGAAGGAATTATTTCCTACGGTCGAATTAAAAGTGTGCTTTCCACGTAGCCGATTTGCACAACGGAGGTTCAACAATTCAACGCCTCTGCTGTGCACCGCTGCTGCAGTGGTGCTTTTGAGATGCGCTTGTACGCAGCTGGTTCTTATGCAGACTTTAAATACTGCTGGTGTTTTTTACTCGCGCAAATGCCAACTGTAAAGATTGCACGTTACAGTTTTTTAAAAAGTTGTTTCCGTGTATAATGGTTGATGAGTGATGATGGCAGCTTTAACGGCAGGTGGAGTCGGTTGCACCTGATGGCGTTGAAGATTTTCCCAATTGTAATTTATACTCCAGCTTTCGTTTCCCTGGGTTAATAAATAAGGCCAGTTATTAATAAATGACGTCCGTTACATGCTACACTGTACCGCGGGGTTAATTTCGTTGCCTTATTTCTCACGCATCATTTTGAAAAGCTAACATTAACATTTGACACACCTGGATCATTATAGTTCTAAAAAGGCAAAATGTTTATTCGGTCGTAGAAGCGATCCATACATAAGTTTTGCAATATATACAGCCAATCCTAAATAACCATATGTGGTTGTACTGTAAATTTTTATTACCAATTTTTTGTTGTTTATGGAAAATGATGCGATTACGATGTTAAATGTGCGGACTTGAACCGTTCTGTGTGCAGTGAGAAAGTTGTTATGTGCCAGGGTGTTTTTAAAATATCTGACATGTACATCTACTCTTTGCCATACGACTAAAATCACATTCCGTAGTCGGTGTCAAGTGTACAAGTCTGTGCAGGCACGCTGAACACTGCTGCAATACAATAACCATTTGGATGTTACATAGTATTTAAATGTAACCACATCGCAACACACTATCGAACAGTGGGTCATATTCATGATATAACAATCGAGAGGCAGTCAGGTAATATTAAAACAAAGGAAAATATTGAGCTTGCATTTGAACAGGGGTTTACGAGTCAACAGCTTGGATGTGTGGTTAAAGGGAAATGGTTAGAAACACAAGTCATTTAAATATTCATTCATCGCTCATGCATATCCACATATAACATTGGTGTCATATACTGTAGTACATTGGGCTAGGATATTTCAAATTCAAAGGACATTCACTCTTGCAAATGAGACTATCCTGGTCTCTTAGTTCTAACCTGGTGAAACAAATCAAACTGTAACTTGAAATTAAATCAAGTAGAGTACTGTAATGTTGACATGAAACACATAGTCTTCAGGCTTTATTGGATGTAAACAATTATCCATATCTTTTTATTACATTTCTTACGAATTAAAATGATTGAGAAACGCATCATAAATATTGCAATAAACAGTCAAACTCTGTTTTATCTGTGACCCAATTATCCGGGAATTCGTTTATCCGGTGTGTGCAAACTCAGTCTTCTCTTCCAAATATCAGGAAGGCGTGGTAATCCAAATATTCTGGGTCCAGACCACAGTTAAACGAAGTTATTCAGGCAAATACTTCCAATTATCTGACGCCGGAAACCACGGATAAATGAAGTTATTCAGAAAATTATTCCAAATATCCGGGGTTATTCGAGGTCACGCCCCCCCCCCCCCAAATAAACAAGTTAATCCCCGATCGGGACCTCAGATATTTGGAACTGGAGTACCCTTCCCCGCAATCACCCTGGATAAAGAGTTTCATTGAACATTTAACATGCCAATACATAAATATCTTCAAGTCACACCAAAAGTCCTCAAGGTCTCCACTAGATGTCACACTCAAAATCAACAAAGCACCATTGGACTTGCCATGTTATACTATATCTCTATCATTTGACACATCCAGTCTATCACACCTTAACGGGTAATTTTCACTGACTGGAGTATACACTAATTGTTAGTTATACATGTTATATAAATAGTTGCTTTATAATTTCTAAATAAACTAAGCATTCGTTTTTCAGCTCTGACTTTTTTGGGTATACAGTATTCCCTTGTTATTCGCGAGGGGTACGGATAATGACATATTTTTTTTAATGAATTACCTTAAATACGTTAATAAGCCTTCCCTCTCATCACTTTATCTCATCACATTCTCTCTCATCACTTTATCTCTCATCACTTTCTCGCATCACATTCTCTGTCATTACTTTGTCATAACCTTCGCTTGATGCAGTCGTGTAGCGTTCCTGATGCAATTTGCAGAAAGCCAAAATGACGTATAGCAAGTTCATGAATAACGAGGGAATGCTGTATTCCTAACAGTGTTCTTGCCGTGTTTATTCGTGTCTGCTGTTGATACATTTGCAGATTGAGGTGGAGATGTTGGAGATCAACCAGAAACCCTTCCCATTGCCACTGGAAGAGGGCATTGATGCGGACATATACGAACGCTACATGTGTCCCCGAGCTGAGTTAACGGAGGTCAGACACCAACAGTCATTCGACCATCTATCTCGGCCAATCATTCTACGCTTGACAGTAATAGCCAGCTGATGTGCATGCTTGTAATGTAGCAACTTGTAGGCATCAAATGTTGAATCATACAGAGACTGTATAAGACACCCACCTAGGGGGTAATGAGGGATCTGTAGGAGGCACGTATGTACTGTATGTTGAACTTCTTTCTTACCATACGTAGCTAACGGTGCTAATCGGAGGGAGACAATTTATGACTTTGCGTGAATTTTTAATGTGGTCCTCTCATACTTGTTCTGGGTGCTCGGTTTCTTCACACGCAAAAACATTTGGCCAAACATCTCATGCTCAAATTTGCACTCAAATCCGACATCATATTCGGTATGAAGACAGGGTATGTAGGCTTGGGCAAGATAGTCCCTATAAGGGATGACGCCAAATTAGACAGGACTAGATCAATGGACAAGACTAATGATGGAATAATACACCTGAGAGGACAAACACCATGGAAATAAGTTAAATGAACTGCACCACTATATGACCATGAGGGATAGTGATGGTGTGAGGAACAGTGACACAGAAACGAACTTTTAATTCCATCCCACGCTTTGCTATCATAATCTTCAGTCGTGTTCTATCCTCTGCTGGATGAAGGCCTCCACTCGTGATCACCACCTCTTACGGTTTTGCAATGCAACAATCCATCCAGATTAATTTCCTTGATGGACTCGGGTATTTTCCCTCCTTTGGCTGCCACTCTTTTATTAGTCTGCATCACAATCATCTCTGCTGGCAACGTATTCTGCCCAAGCCCACTTTACTTTTATTAGCAGTCAATATGTTGTATATTAATTATATTTGGTCTCTAATACTTCAGTTCATCTTCCTGTCTCTCAGAATAATTTCAAGCATGCACCACTCCACGCTTCTTTGTGCATCTTGAAACTCTTGTTCCTATTTCTTTGTCAATGTCATTGTTCATTTTCTATGTTAAGAGAAAATATGTTGCATTCTTGCAAGGGGGAACTAATTATATATTTTTAAATTAGGAATGCCTTGCAGTCTGGCCAAGTCGCTCCAACAGTACTCGGGAAAGTTGTGAGTTAAAATCCTCCTTGGCCTCAACTTGGCACCATCATCTCTTTGGGCACAAACATGTTGAGTACCAGAATATAGAAAGTCAACGGTGATTGTTATGTGAATATGGAATTTCCATCACTGGCTTAGGGCCACCATTGTAAAGAGACATCGCCCAATTACTAGTTTGATTTCGCATCATAAAAGGGTTTTGGCAGATTGAATCCACCACACCTTGAATCACCTAACCGCAACTTGCCAAGACTGTGTGATAATTATTAAAGTGCCAATCTGCCGAAAAGTAATGAGCTTATCGTGTGCTTTAATCATGGGCCAAGTTTGCAATTGTGCAGATGCTGCATTAAACTGCTGTGATCATTTGTTTTATACATAGAGTTTATATTATGCCTACCGAGGTGAGAAATGAACCAATACCAACTTAGAAATTCTCCCCTCCCCTTAACCAAACCCCTAGAAGGCAAACAAGTTCAAATATACAGTACACAATTTACTTTGACAAAGTGTCAAAGTACAAAGATATATCTGAATGCTGTGACGAATCAAGAAGGGCAATAAATAATGAAGGCTTAGGCAAGGGGAAAGCAGATAGAGTATTTACACAAGTGTGTGCAAACATGTAATGTTTAACAAGTATAGCAAAAGATTGTTAAACGATATCATATTCAAAAAGGAACACATGTTTTTGAACCAGAAACCCACATTACCAGTTTTATAATTGGGACACCTGTTTTGCCATTTAAGGAAAATAGATTTCGTATTTAAATTCAGCAATCGGTTTTTTTACGTAATATCAAAGTACAAAGGTATTTCTGGATTCTGCAAAAAAAATTGCAGGAATTAAATAAATAGCTACTTCGCAGGGAAAAGCAGAGACGGTGTTTGCACAATTATGAACTAACCCCTGATGAAACTCTTCTTTACGTGTTCAGCTGCAAGATGTGGGCGAACCTCAAGAGCATCATGTGATGTTCGAAGTTTAGCATTTTGTGTTTTTGTTTTTATCTTTGTTACCGATTATTAAAATCACTCCCTGTTATGCCCGTGTTGCTCCACCGTTTTGAATAAACTGCAGTAATTATAATCTCCCAACTGCAGTTATCCCTTTCTTCCAATATTTTCACTACGATCCCCATGATCACCCTTTCACCATACCTGTCAACAACCTATTATCAGTCTCTACCTTATTACATACTAATTCAGACCTTATCGGTCACCCCCTGCCCTTATAAATCTCAACGTTCAACCTACAAAGTCCCACCACAAGGGAGAAACGCAAACAAATAGACACTTTTTTTGCCCGTATTGAAACGGCTGTACACCGTATGGACCTGAAAACTTAATTTTCCTGTACAAGAATATTGGAAAACCGCATGGGTGGACAGGTATGCTTCCACTTAAACACACGTTTGCTGTTTCCAGGCTCAAATGTCCACTGAGTAGAACTCGTCTCAGTTGGTTGCCTTGAGCCAGTGATAAAAAAAACCACATTCCTATGGATGGGTCCATGGTGTCCATACGATAACCATGTTAACGCCTGACAAAGTGGTCCTGGTTGGGTCTGTAGTGCCCTCTGCTGCTGCACCAGTGAAACCGGTGACACAACGCAAAGCAGGACATTGCATTTGGCAGGACCCTTGGGAGAACATTACAGGGGGAAACGGAAGGGTTCAAAACCTCCCACTCACACTCAAACCTCCTGAGAGTTTACTGGCTCCTAGAAAGTAATGCTGAAGCAGATGACCTCATAGTCAAAGCTCGAGCATTACACATGTGCATCTAATCAGTATACTCGGTAGGGTCATGCATTTTTAGCCTTTATCTACTCTTTTCAACTTTAAAATATTTCTACCATTTTATTGTGGGGTTTATGCTTTAACCGATTTGTTTTTCTGAGTATGGACACAATCATCGGCCATGAACTCTCCACCGCTGGTTGAGGGCCTCCACAATCGGTCACCATCTCTCATGGCCAAGTGATTTAAGAATCCATTTAGTACCTGCACATGAGCTGATTTCACTGTTCCATCTCCGCGGTGGATATCATCTCTGACGTGTTCCCTCCGTTGGCTGCCACTCTGTCATTAGTCTTGACCACTGGCCATCGTCCCCTTCTAGCGACGTGACCTGGTCAATCCCACTCGCTTCCGCTTGAGGCATTTTTATATCTCTAAGTTGTAATCTATCCATTCCTCTCGGTGAGCACCCCTCAATATTTACTGTACATTTATCTATTTTATACTGTATATCAGTGTCCATGTTTTTTTGTATCCTTATATTATAGCGAATAATATGCACTGATTAAGATATTTCTCTTTTCAGCAAAGTGGTATGTTGCCTTTCATTATTAAGTTCAGTTTGGCAACAGCGCTCCAACCTCATAATTTAAACTGTCCCTCCGACAGATATCTCACATTTTTTGTAGCAAATAATAATTCTTACGTGACTTTTGTCTTTTTCATATTTACCTTTTGTTCCACTTTGCAGACTTATACCGTTTCCTGGACGGTAATACGTTCCCATTGGTTGTTGTGATGACAATGGTATATGAATATCTGATATTGTTAGTATTTTCTCTATCTTTAAGCCGTTGTTTCTCAATCCAGTCTCCAGAAACAATTTATGTTGTAATGTTGCTGTAAATAAGTTCTCCAAAAGCTCGTCTGACTTAATAACATGCATTTTTATACTTTGGTCGTGAAATCTCAGTGTAGCTTCCATTTTTTATTCAATTATTACAAAACATTGTTTTATTTAGGTTGTGGTTTTTGAGACCATGGATCACTGCATCAATTTCCACAGAGTGTAAATGCCTTTTAATATTCTACAAAGGCTAGGCATAAAGGTATTTGATATCCATCAGTAGTACTCTTTCCGAATCTGATAATATGTCTGTGGTCTATAGTAGAAAGCCCTTTCCTAAATATTATGGCATGCTCATGTGCTTTGTTCACCTCTAAATTATGTTATTCTGTTTCCAGTGATATTGAACAGGTTTTTACGAAATCAGATTATTTTACTTATTAACCTGAATGTGTTTGCATTTGTATATAGTTTCCCAAAAATCTGTAGGTACATTCGAATGAAAACGGTTATGTATTACGTCTGTTAAAAGTGTGACCCCCAATGTACTTTAATTGGTTTGTTGCACCGAGTTTCATTGACATTCTGCTGTCCCAGGTCACTGCTGAGAAATATTTTATGCTAAAGTATAATCCGTATATTTCATATTTAAAATATTGTAGTTATATATAGCAAAAAATATTCCTTTTTAACTCTGATCTTTGGACTATTTAAATAGGTGATTGGAAATCTAAAAAAGTTCATTAAAATGTTCAAGCAAAACACAAATAATATAATTCACGTATAAAAGGTCTCTGCTATAATACATAGATTATATCCTTTTTATTAACATTAAATTGTACATTAAAACTCTACAATTCGTTAGTTATCCTTCACTGTATTTATATTTGTTTTTTTTTCTTGTGTAATAATAGTTGCCATTGGAATGTGGCCTAACCACTACTAAAAAGGACAGAGTAAATATGGAGCATAACAAGCCTCCTTAATCTGCTCCATTCTACAGCTTATGAGATAAGAACTCAATATAGGAGTACTGTATAGGGTTAGTTTGCGGCTCTGACGTAGACGCAATAGAATTATGGACACAAACATGTTCAGAGCCGCTTTAAATGTTAAACACTTTGGCAACTGACAATTTTGGCTGTTTCTTTTTTTCTGGTTGAACTGGATTTAACAATAAAATTTTGTAACGCTGATTTTATTCTTTAGAATAAAGCTTTAGGTCAGTGTTGCATTGAGAGTTACACGGCTGGAAGAAAGCAAACTATACCACCAGCCAACGACTCCCTTATGTTTGCTCTACAAAGCACAATAGCAGTGTTTTGCTTGTAGATTTCAGCTCTCAATAGGAATCTAACACATATATATATACCATAGCCGGTGGTCTGAATGATGGCATCATGCAGCAATAATAATTAGATATTTGATGATGACATCAATGATACCAAAAGTTGTGTATTGCTATTTAAGTCATTTTCATGAAAATGATGTCCTCGGGAATTATGATCAAAAGTCAGTGTCTTAAACGATTTTCCACACTTCTTGGCGTGGAAATTGGTTTGTAATTGCAAGAGTCAATATAATATTACGTGAATATTAAGTTGTACACTAAATTACAAAAGCACTCCATTGATTTGGCGAATACAGTTGATATTAGCTAAAAAATACATGAAAAAATACTCCTCGTTGGGCAATGAACATTTTCACGATGTATATACATTCCAGAAGATGCATGAATGATAATACCTTAACGCTGTACATGTTTACTTTATTGCTTAAGCAACAATTCTAAATATACCAATAACCTTACCGGAATGTAATTTTAGTCAACTAAAATGTTGAGTACTGTAACATCTCCCTGTGTATTCCATTTACGTGGAATGACCTTACCGGTACTGTATTTAAATATCATTGTTCACTTCTCTTCCTGAAACCCATCATTTGTTTAAAAAAAGTTTTTTTTACATATATAATTTAACAGCGCTAATTAAAATACAGTACTCAGTTCATTTCCTCGAGAGAAATGAGCAATAAGGCTCGAGGAAAACGTATAAAGTACTTATGTTGATGGCCTTCATCCAGCAGTGGCTTGATGATGGTCGATAATGATATTACTTAAGAGAATGTACATGCTCTATTTATATACTCTGCACAGAGTATATGCTATGTCAGATATGTATACATCATCCAATAGCATGATATTTAAGTGATGAGTATCAATATTGCATGATATCCATTTTGTATGAAAGTTTGATACGGTATACTGTGTGTGTAGCATGTTGCCAAACATATTTTGGAAAAGTAGGTATTTCTGCCTCTACGATGTGGAATATCCACAAATGTTTAAGGGCTATCAATGGCATGTCAGATATTTATACATCATCCAATATGTTATTTCAGTGATGAATTTGGATAAAGATGGTGTACACAGCTTGGTCTAAATTCCGAGGAACTGTAGCAACATCGTTTACCAAGCTTACCAGACATGGTACATTGACTGCATTGTGACGTCTGTGCCCGATGTTGATATTTCCTCGGAGGTATCTTTCCGCTGGCTGATATGAATATTGCTCGAACCTGTAATATCTGGTAGAATGCAGAGGAGCCCATCGTGGAAGAGGCCGAGGAGGAAGAGAGAATGGCTGACCCCCCCGCCGATTACCCGAGCGGCGATGACCCCCTCCGTGGTCACACATTGGCAGAGGTCAGAACTACCCTGGAGGAGGTGGCCGCCGAGATGATCGGTGAACTTCAGGTAGGTTTCCACCCGCACTATTCAAAATATTACTACACCCATATAATCATTATATTCACTTGTAATATACAGTTCGGCCCTATTTAACCCGTTCCGACACGACTGCAAGTTGCAGGGTGGGTGTCCCGTTCACCGCGCAAGCGGCTCAGTGTCAATTTTATTTAGAGAGGCGTAGCGCCGTTATTTTTAAAGGCATTTTACTCACCACAGAGAACCGTAGTGACACGACCGCACTCTATGATAGCTGGCACCAAACTGTGCCGCATGGCCTCCCGCATGGCCGTGTGGGTGCCTCGGTACCGATAAAGTAATTTTATTTTATTGTTTCTGATGACCTACAGTGAGGGAAAAAAGTATTTGATCCCCTGCTGATTTTGTACGTTTGCCCACTGACAAAGAAATGATCAGTCTATAATTTTAATGATAGGTTTATTTGAACAGTGAGAGACAGAATAAAAACAAAAAAATCCAGAAAAACGCATGTCGAAAATGTTATACATTGATTTGCATTTTAATGAGGGAAATAAGTATTTGACCCCTCTGCAAAACATGACTTAGTACTTGGTGGCAAAACCCTTTTTGGCAATCACAAAGGTCAGACGTTTCTTGTTGTTGGCCACCAGGTTTGCACACATCTCAGGAGGGATTTTGTCCCATTCCTCTTTGCAGATCTTCTCCAAGTCATTAAGGTTTTGAGGCTGACGTTTGGCAACTCGAACCTTCAGCTCCCTCCGCAGATTTTCTATGGGATTAAGGTCTGGAGACTGGCTAGGCCACTCCAGGACCTTAATGTGCCTCTTCTTGAGCCACTCCTTTGTTGCCTTGGCCGTGTGTTTTGGGTCATTGTCATGCTGGAATACCCATCCACGACCCATTTTCAATGCCCTGGCTGAGGGAGGGAGGTTCTCACCCAAGATTTGACGGTACATGGCCCCGTCCATCGTCCCCTTGATGCGGTGAAGTTTTCCTGTCCCCTTAGCAGAAAAACACCCCCAAAGCATAATGTTTCCACCTCCATGTTTGACGGTGGGGATGGTGTTCTTGGGGTCATAGGCAGTATTCCTCCTCCTCCAAACACGGCGAGTTGAGTTGATGCCAAAGAGCTCCATTTTGGCCTCATATGACCACAACACTTTCACCCAGTTGTCCTCTGAATCATTCAGATGTTCATTGGCAAACTTCAGACGGGCATGTATATGTGCTTTCTTGAGCAGGGGGACCTTGCTGGCGCTGCAGGATTTCAGTCATTCACGGCATAGTGTGTTACCAATTGTTTTCTTGGTGACTATGGTCCCAGCTGCCTTGAGATCATTGACAAGATCCTCACGTGTAGTTCTGGGCTGATTCCTCACTGTTCTCATGATCATTGCAACTCCACGAGGTGAGATCTTGCATGGAGCCCCAGGCCGAGGGAGATTGACAGTTATTTTGTGTTTCTTCCATTTGCGAATAATCGCACCAACTGTTGTCACCTTCTCACCAAGCTGCTTGGCAATGGTCTTGTAGCCCATTCCAGCCTTGTGTAGGTCTACAATCTTTTCCCTGACATCCTTGGAGAGCTCTTTGATCTTGGCCATGGTAGAGAGTTTGGAATCTGATTAATTGATTGCTTCTGTGGACAGGTGTCTTTTATACAGGTAACAAGCTGAGATTAGGAGCACTCCCTTTAAGAGTGTGCTCCTAATCTTAGCTCGTTACCTGTATAAAAGACACCTGGGAGCCAGAAATCTTTCTGATTGAGAGGGGGTCAAATACTTATTTCCCTCATTAAAATGCAAATCAATTTATAACATTTTTTGACATGCGTTTTTCTGGATTTTGTTGTTGTTCTGTCTCTCACTGTTCAAATAAACCTATCATTAAAATTATAGACGATCATTTCTTTGTCAGTGGGCAAACGTACAAAATCAGCAGGGGATCAAATACTTTTTCCCTCACTGTACATGCACAAGTACGTCATCGGAATGGGAAAGAGTTAATAATATTCACCAAGCAATCTGTTCCCTGCTGATGTGAGCAATCAAGCTGCCTTTAAATCCCATTGACAGCCCTTAAACATTCGTGGAAATTCCACATCGCGGAGGCAGGGCCCAGTGTATCCATACAATTGTGACCATTGACTTCCCACAAAGTGCCACTTTCTTTTACTCAGCTCAGAAGGTTGATAGGTTGAGTTGCCCCCCCCACCCCCCCACTTAGATTTGAACTCTCAACTCAGCGATTGTCAGTGAAAATTCTAGCCACAGTGCCAGCCGTGCAGATTTGTAATCATTAAATCATTGTCCTGATCGGCCAGGGTCAACTCACTGTTGGATGAAGGCCTCCCTGAGCCACTGCCACATCTCAAGCCACCGAGCACCTGCACATGAACTGATTTCATTCTTCCGTCTCCTTGTTTGATGTCTTCTTGGTCTTGTTTCATTCCTTTACTGCCACCGCGATATTATTTTTTCTGATAATAATGATTATTTGTCAGGCCTGCAATCTAATAATCCACTTTGCACCGACAGATGGACTGATTTCATAGCTCCATCTTCCTCCATGGATGTCCTTTCAGATGCGTTCCATCCCTTAGTTGCCACTCCATTGTTAATGTGATTATAGCAAACATGGTTATGCACTGTATTTTAAAATAATAAATGTGTGTACTGTACTAAACAATTACACAAATGATAAGCAAAGATTTTGTGATGTAATGTATTTTACCGTATATGTATATTCTGTAAGGCAAGAATATTTTTTTGCAAGGGGAAGTATTTACATGTTAACATTCACTTCCGTTCTGTTCTTTATTGTTTGCTTCATACTATTGTACCTTCACTGTACCTTTAAAACGAACATCGATTATTTTCTTCCATTCCTTTCTATCTTGATCAAAACTAGGCATAAGGAACCATGATGAATTGTTGTACCAACTGTATTCATACTGTAGAGTATTTTACAAATAACAATATTAAGTGTAAAATATATACACTGTATGTTTAAATCCAGTATCCAGTTAAATTGTATTCAAGCATAATCATGAACTGAAATGCAGTTTTCATAATAACACTTTATTGGTGTTGTGTTCAAGTTGTTGGCAGAACAGTGTATTGAAAAAAAAAACTTTACTTTTTAAAAGATTCTTTTACCTCGTCGGTGTTAAACATTTGACTATGCTGCAGAGTATTGCGGTGTGTACAGTACAGCTAATCATTTCTGAGTGAAAACCCCTGGGTTGTTTTACCTCAAGTGTAGTAAACATTGCACGTTGATTAACCTGTAATATAAAGACTAGTGGTGTGGATTATTTAACAGTAATTATGGATATTTGATCCACTCTAAATTGAAAATTGTAGATTAGCACAAATACTGGCATTTGGCTTTATGCATCTCATATGCAGCTCACGGTGCTATATGACACCGGGATAGCAATAGTAGTCGTCGTAAACAAATAATTTGTTGATTGACATTTGGAAAATATAGAAATTAGTTGGGAGTGTATATTTATGACAGCGTTGAAATACGATAGCAGCAGGCATCAATGCGAAGCACTTAGTTGGAAAGAACTGAAAATACTCCCATCAAAGGAAGGAGATAATGAATCATAGTTTATTGGTAATAACTTCGTTGGCACACACTAATGTAATCAATTCACCTGCTTAATTCCCTCCTGCTGAAGTTGCAGAAGTAAATTACATTATGCACAGTTGAAATTTCAATGGATTGAATCAACTTGAACGCACGCAATTCGTTTTACCTCGAATCAGAGTGAAGAATTATGGGCCTTACAACTCTTACCGAGAGTGATATAATGCAGCAGCCTTTTTGCCTGTGACATTTCAAGAGAGGTTTCCAGATTCACTCAACAATGTGGAGCGCTTGAGTGAGGCCACATTTACCTTTCAGTAGCCTGACGATCAGCGTGGCAAATGAATTCCATTTCTCATTGCGTGGAAAATGTTCTGCTTGTTCATGAACTACATCGGAGCTGTCTGATATGGAAAAGGACAAAGCGACAATTGTAAACATTTGGGGTTGTGGGAGCTACACACACAACTTGTATTATTTCCATATATCCAGATGCTCAGTATAATTTGTGATACAATTTCAGTTGAGCCACAAGTGTTTGGTGTCATATTACTGCCAACAAAATGCCTGGCCAGAGTACTCGAGCCTAGGATTGAAACTCAGACCTCAACTTGAAACTGTAAATATGCAGTTTCTTCCATTTGCAGACTTAATACTGTTGTTTTTCTGTTCGTGGTACTTTTTAGGGAGATTGTGAATAAAGCAAACCATGTTAATGTACAACATTGGTTGAGATTGTAAGATGGTGGTGGGGTGTAACTACTGTTTAGAGGGCGGCAGGGGAATGGAATTTAGACCAGAATTAGACATTGTAAGGATTCTAAGCATACTGCAAGTGTTTGTTTAAATCCACTCGACTAAAATAGCTTAGGCCACGAGATATGTGATATAAAAATGCCTAATATAAACATTTCCAGGGCAGTATTTACGTTTCATTGAATGAATTGTTTTCTGCTGAATATTGAATTGTGCTGTACATGCATTTTGTTGTTGCACATTAATAGGGGACCGTGTGTTGTGAAACTGCTCAATTTCAGTACTTCATTAACATTCCAAATGTGTAGAACTATGTGTATTTAATATCGTGAACATTTTTTAAAGATTAGTTCTTCTACAGTTTCTTATGTAGTGAATGATGTCATATGTACGTATACATTTTACATTTCCATATACATTACAATGTAATTTTACAATCCTGTATCTTACATTCAAGCAATGCGTTTTTTTTCTTTCTAAAACACACGTTTAATTCATGCTCTGTCCTTTCTTCAAAAAGCAAACCCACCTCCACTAATATTTTTACTGTTTTGGTAGCTACCACACAGTTTGGAATGTGTGTGGTTCCTGAAAGAATGGGTAGTAGACACGGCGAGGCTTTTGAACCTTGAGTAAGCCACAATGTACTGGCCCAGTCATAAATGCATGAATGTTAATGGGACTAAACAATCTCGGCAAGTCTTATCAAAGTCAGGGAATGTCTTGGCATGTCCCAAATTCAGAGAATGTACAGTTCCGTTAAATATCGTCAACTTTGAGGTGGCGAAATATTTCAACGTTTATATATCCAACTACTACTTGATCCTTCGTCAACCGCATTTAATTTAGAATTAGGCATATTAGAAGGATGGGGGGGATACATGGGCATGGTAATTTGGAAACCATTGATATGATGAAAAGATTCCGTTGAGGGATTTTAAATATGAAAATGTTTTTGTGGTAGTTATTCTAATGACTCCTATACTGCACAAGCGTGTGTTTGTTTTGAATAGCAATGGCCTGTTTTCTTTCATGGTAATTGCCGTACAGTACTGCATTTTGAATTACGGTATACACATCAAATGTTGCTTACAGCCTTTTTCGATCCACTGCTTATTTTCCTTAAAGCAATACATATACAGTATATATATAGAAGTGTACAAATGTTGTTTTCAAGTGTGTATGTACTTGTACGGCATTGCCTTAGTCATGTCTAGCGTGCCACGTTAACACATTTGTTCATGGTGGTTGGGAATGTTACGTTTGTCACAAAATGATGTGTGTGGTTAACAAACATTTAAAGAAGTTGCATTTTGGGAAAAACACTTTCATAAATACGCATCAATTCCAACCCATTCAGTTATCAGTGGGGGGCGTCGCTTTGTTTTCGTTAAGTTTTCGTTAGGTTTTAAATCTCTCGTACTCAAAAATGTGTCGAAGCGTCCTTTGATCTCGCGTTTTCGGGAGAGTTGCAAGTAACAAGAGCAGTTCCGTGTACAGTACAATTGTGTATTCATAACTTTCGATACGACGTTTAAACTATTTGCATGTTTGGGCATTGCAGTTGCTTCTCAACTCGCACTGTACAGCGGGCAGGCGGGTATATATTTTCTGCGTAAATGTTAATTTCAAGTTCAGAAGGCAAGGTATCAATTGTACATATTTTGGCAGTAACCTGACACCTCTCACACAAGAGTCTAAAACCAAAAGCTTTGTAGCTCGTAGGCAAATGCCCACTCCACACACTGGTAAAAGCCAAGTACAGTACTCTACATACATCCGATGTCCGATTATTACGCCACGTGTGTACACCTGTAGCCCAGAACCTGGGGTAATTCTATATAACAACGCCCGTTTGAAGTTTTGTTTCGCTACTTTGCGGATGTGAAAAGACAAACTGCTTTTGTAGGTCAACGTTACATCTCACAGTGCGTATCTAGTCATTGTTTCTCTTTTTCAACACGTACAACCTACCGGTCATATTTATGAGTTAAAATCATCCCGCTGCGTCAACCGGTGATGTTTGTGGAAATTAAAATTGATATTGCACCGGTCATCGTTCAGAAAATGACCACATATGCACGTTCCCTTGAAACAAGGTCGTGTTTGGAGTAAATCTAAATACTGTGTTGCCTTTTCTTAAATATGGTTAATGTTCAAACTACCCCATACATAAAACCAGCAAAAACAGCTCGGCTTCTATATGCGTTTTGGGGGGGAGCAACTTATCACTTTCAAATATGAACAACGTTTTCATGTTTTGTGTACATTTGCAGTCGAAACCAAAAAAAACATGTCCAATATTGCCTCTCAAAAAGTTTGAAAGTCCATTGCTTGAACAAGTGTATTCAGGGGGGGGTGGGGTGGAGAGGAGGTGATTTACAACAAAACTGGCTCGATGACATTGAAAAACATGCCCAATATTGCCTCTCAAAAAGTTTGAAAGTCCGTTGCTTGAACAAGTGTTTTCAGGGGGGGGGGGTGGTGGAGAGGAGGTGATTTACAACAAAGCTGGCTCGATGACATTGAAGGGACATTTTGTTGATGCTGTGCCCCCTTTTGTAATGGAGTGTGGCTCCACACACGTGGACCCACAATGGTGATAAAGGGGGCAGGGTGGTTCTGAAGCCAGGAAATGGCTGCCACACAACATTCACCCATTAAATGCCACACCTTGACAAACCTCCCACTGTTGTTAGTACGCTGCCCCAAGGCATCTCTTAAACGACACGGATTTGAGATATATATTTTTTTTGTTTGTTATTGGTTTCATTGATAAATTTTTTAAAAAAAAATTTGCGTAAATATTCAAAGATATATTTAATGTAGCCCAGTTTGTACTTGCACAAGAGGAAATGTTTCATGTATTTCAACGAGTATATTATCATCCGGTTAACTACATTTTAATTTTATTTATTTCCTTACTTAATGCAATGTATTCTTTATTGAATTAAATCTATTCCTTAACTGTTCCACTAATCAACACCTAAATCTTGACGTAAAGCTTTCGTGACTGCAGGAATTCATATTCTTTGGTTCTTTCGGTAAAGTCACGTAGAATGTTTAAAGTTATTCCTATCTTGTTTGTGTTATAGGGCTCCTGACCATTCTGTTGGCAATTATTAAACATTACTTTTAGAGAATAGAGAACCTGATGCTTTGCAATGGAAAATAAGAGACAGCTGTTATTTTCATTCTATTCTCATAATGTTGTATTCGGAGCACGCTTTTTTTATGTGAACAAAATTCAAGATATGTTTTGTGAGGTTTTAGTTTATTTTTTTTTCTAGGATTGAAAGAATATTATGGCGAAATAATTACATTGATAGGAGCGCAAATTGAAAAGTTAGACAAGTTTTAAATGAACCGTGTCAATCGTCTGTGTTACTCCCACCTCTTCGGTGTGTGCCTTATCTATTATATATTCAAATCGATGTTTATTACGCGGAAAATCCCGTTTAGCCAGTTTCCAAGCTAGTGTCGGTAGCAACGGCAGGCAGCCACTAACAATATTCAAAATAATCTCTAGGCATATATATATTTTTTAATAGTGGTATAAGTGACCCAGTTGACATGACCTGCAAAGTTGCCCATTGTGTAAGCAGCGTCAAAATCTAAAATCCATGATTCATGAATAAAATGTCAACTAAGTTGCGGAACGTTAAAATAAAAGCACTCGCTTTTATATTAACATAAATGCACAATTCGAAACTTACAACTCAAAAAACAGTACTCTTTTACTGTTATGAAATTAAATTATACTCGTATACATGCACGTGTCATTGTCACCTTGATATATATATTTTTAATTCCTGGTTCTGCCCCGCTGGGATGCAATAACACAACCTGCAATAATGTGAACGCGTTAAAAATGTCACAAAGAGTGTGGGTGTCTGTGAAGCTATTTGCTGTGAATCCTTTGCAGGTGGCGGTGTCTGAAAAGTTGAAATTGCAAGAGGAGACGTACAAGACTCGCTTGGACAAACTGCGTCAAGTAGAAATGGCATAATGGGCCTCGTAATTCATTTATTATGAGCGCAATGTTCAATGCAAGTTACTTTTAGAATGGTCTATGCACATACAGTGACAATATACATTTTACGTAAATGGTAGTCAACATTGTAAACATTTGCATTTTAAACATTGGCGAATGCTTTATTTGACTGTAGAAAATGTGTATGTTTTGTATTTAGTTTAGATTTGAAATATTCTTAAGCAACTGCACTCTATTTTCATAAAAATAATTTCTTAGGTCACCATAAAACATTGCTTTATAACCCACTTCAACCCCATAAACACACACCTGTAAGTTAAAATGTAATCACAGTGCATGCATAAAAAGTATAATTATGGTTTCGCAACGTCCTTTAACGAAATTACAGCCTATTGAGAAATATGTTTTCTCATAAGGCTGACCTAAGTGCCACAGTTACAAATGAACGACGGTACAGTGATATAGTCATTCTAATTGAGTCTCATGTAAAGGTTAATAAATAAAATAAAAACTATGATAAAAAATTGGTGTAATAAAAGGCTGTTTTGTTGATTACAAAGGTAGTATTCCACTTTTCATGAATGGTGTGACAAACACATACGCTTTAATAGAACTGTAATGGTAACCTCGACTATGATTAATGTATAGTGTTAGTTATGCCAAATGTTATAGGAATCGGTCCACGCATTACAGTGCAGGTGAAATGTGTTGCATCAATGGGCATTGCAAGACAATTTTTTACGTGCTTTAAACCTATAATATCGAAGTACAGTATGCATGAGGAAATACATCCTTTTGGCAGAATTATCACCATGACAACTCTACTGTATTGTTCAAGTATTCATTAGGTATGGTGTTATGGCTGACACAAAAAAGTGTATGCACTTGATGAAATATTCAGTATTCAACTTTTTTATCCACATTATTCCAACCATATTTGTCTTTCAACGCACTCTAACATTAGCTACCTTTCACACGCTTTGTATCAAATATTTATCAAATATACCTGAAACTTATCCACAGAGATATAATGGGTACTGTTGACGGATCCTATTGTTCGCGTTAAGCCACGAAGACAAACATCAATGGATAAACGCAGATACTAGTGATTTGTTGATATTTGTAATGAACTCTTGTCCGTCCAAAGGCCAGAGGTATCAGGAGTCTGAGTTTACTTCTGAAGACTCGTTTCACCTGCCTTCTAACGATAGATAAACACGGATTAATTAATGGAGAAATTTGCCACTCAAGTCTAGCATGCTGTAGCATAATTACCATCATCTTTATCACTATCAACATCATTGCCATTATAGCCACATCATCATCCTTATAACTTGTATATCCGAAAAATATATTTCCTGTCTCTATAACGCATTATGGTTCAATGTTGCTCTCTCAAGAGCAAATACTGCATGATTTACCAGTATTAACCATTAACCATCTCAATTTCAGTGATGCAATAGTCGTTAAAGGTATAACAACACATGTTAAAGAACGATAATAAATGATTGAATGTTTTAACAAAGCAATCTGCACAGCGAGACGAGATAAATTAGGCAAATAAAAGTGACATACAAAACGTTTACCAATTTCAAATTTTGATGGTGGACTGATTAAAATTATGAAATAGAGAGGGGAGAGTAAGGCTTGTGTACTTTTGGAAGCTTTTTTTAAATGAAAAGCAACATCAATGTGCCTTAAAGAAGAACGTTATACACCAGTGCATATTATCTGCCATGACTTGGGAGCCACCTGTCCGCATTTTGACCAGGAATCGGCATCTTTGTTTTTGGCGGTAGGAATTAAAAATGTTTTACCAAGATCTGGCGGTATTGAACTCTATTACGGCGTACTGTTCAGTTTTCGTAGACTTAGGCCCACTGAGAAATATGTTCTGTTTTGGTTTTGCTAAAAGGGGGACAACGCTATAGCCATGACATGGATTGAACATGTGCACACCGGCGAAGCACATGGATGAAAATCTGAAAAATATTTCAAGGAACGCGGATATGTGCATGTATGGAATTACTATGAAACATTTTTTTATGTTACCGGGTGAGTCCCACTGAGCTATACAGCTCATTTTCAGAAGCAAACTGGCCACAAACGATAGCTCAACGAAGTGGCTTACGTGGAAATGTATAGCAGCCAAATACTCTTAAACACATGTTGATTCTAAATGTGGAGGGGAAAAAAACCGGAGGACCTGTTTACAGGCGTCAGGTCGGGATCGAACTCACGACTACCTGCACACTAGACAAGGTAGTTAACATCTGGCCACCGTGACGTGCCTATGTTGAAGGAGGAACACATGTTAAGGGAGATCGGCTCTCTTGTCACGAGATGGATTGTGTGGCATTGTGGAACTGTGAGGGATGGTGAAGAAGTGGCGAAACCTTCATCCAGAAGTGGATTTATGATGTTTGATTAATTATTACCTTGGATATTATTACATTTTACACCATCTAAAGCATCCAGTGAAAATCAACAAGGTTGTTCATATCCGCTGTTTGTACTGTAGTTAAAAGCTGATAATCAGAAAATGTATCCACTCTTATCTCTCTAGCCTCTATATGTGCTTTGAAGAAATGCCAGTAGCCTTTTTATATATTTTCCTTTTAAGGCAGTGTTATTGACAAAAATCTAGATTTTTTGTTGTAAAATTGTTTTTGAGCACCATTCCCAACGCAGCATCACCAAATAATTGTATATACAGTATTAGCTTGCGTTACAGTACTTTCATTGATGCTATCAGTGCTGTACGCTCATTTGAGTACAGACTAAAAGGTTTGAGTGGTGCAAATTCCACGTTATCGTGGCTGCCATTCTATAATGCTGTACAGCAGTTTAGATACAATACGTGTGTGTGTGTAAACTGGAACGTTTTTTTCTTCCTGTGGATTCAAAAAAATAGATGAATCTACCACTAAAAACCCTTTGGATGATTGTGAATTTATTGAGGTGCATTTTTTCAGATCCCGATTTTTAAAACTGACTATAAAAGATGGTTGCATTCCCTAGCTGTTGCTCATTGAATTTCATTACTGCAATAATGGACTTACAGTACAGCGTTTAAGTACTGAAACATGCCAAGGCATGCATTATGGATTCCTGTTCATGCAAATTGATAGCGGATGTGAAATAACTTTTGAGTCTTGCAACGTGGTACGTAATTGTGACTAATATTAAACGTTTTATAAATTACATATGAATAGACACTGAAGGAAAATTTTAATGTGCATAAAAAGCTTAAGTAAATTACAGCACTGTATTGTTAATTCATTTGGTACTAGAGTACAGTATTTGAGACTAGTCATAACCATGATCTATCCACTGCTGGATGAATGCCTTCTGAAGCCTTCGACATATTTGATAGTCGTGGCATTTGGCAATCCCCCACGCACCTGATTGGTATCCACGGTGGCAATTCCTTGGCTTTTGCCATAGGAATGTGGAATTCCCACTGCACGGTGGAAGTACCGTCCGACGCTCTTTAAGAGCATTAAAAGTGCAGATTACAACTGCAGCAATGTGGAATAACATAGCGAAACGGTGTAGTGATCGCATTACGCACACATCTAATTTAAATTACAGTCCAGCATTCGGGCTCGGTAAACACATTTAAGCGTGTGCGTTGTGTGGAAACTCCACAGTGCCAATGCGTTGTTAAGATCACTTCATTGTACAACAGTTTCATTCATTGGGCAGTGGAAGTTATTTAGAAAAGTATGCCCTGTGGTTGGGAGGAAATACACAAGTCGGCGATGCAGGATATGTTGTTGACCACGGGCTGTGATTCACACAATCTGAGCGATGCTTGAAGCTTGGGACGGAGGCTTGAAACCTCGGAAATAAACACGAAACGAGGATCTATCTTCTTGCCAGCCGGTCGCCACACAACAACAACAGCAGCCAGCCAGCCAGTTCCAGGCGGAACAGCGTTGAAGTTGTATCAGCACCTTTGGCACATCGATCGATGGGATATCACTTGAATCTATCTGTTCAGTGGCTAACGTCGCAACATTTTTGATGACGTCTGTTAGAACGCACTGTACAGTATAAGGCAAAATATTTTCCCTTGTTCATAAAAGCAGCCGTTCTTAGTTCACGATTGGCTCGTACGCATTTCACGATTTAAACATTTCGTGATTGGCCTGTAGGTATTTGGCGATTTAAATAGTTCACGATTGGCCTATACGTATTTCATATGTCATGGCTTAAATATTGTGTCTATTTCAATATAAAAAAAAAACATTCGCTCATCCTGTTAGGGATGGTCAAAAGTTTGAGAATGACAAAGCTGACTCTTGTGACGCGTGCATTTTTAGTCACTTATGGGAACTAAGAACTGGGTGGGGGGGGGGCTGTGTGCAGATGATGCTGGTGGAAGCTTCCCGCACGTGATTTTGCAAACAACAATACACATTATTCGCTGAAAGTACCAACACAAAATCACCCCTTGATCCCGTCACGGTCAATATTTTCCACTGGAAAGCTGCAGTACACGCAGCCAGCAAACGTAGTAGGTTTGTCGCGCTCTGAGTTGTCACCAGCAGGTCATCTGTAATGTTGGATGGGTGCTGAAAGATGCACGAACAATGTGCACAAACTGGTTGCATAACAGTTAATAGTATACATGCGAATTGCTGCTACGGCAAGTTAAATGCATGATTGTAGTTATTTGATTCGTGATGTTTATTTGCACAGCATAGCACACACGGTATTGTATGAATTCGTGAACGACACCCATTCTCTGTGGCCTCTGTACTGGTTGGTAATCGATGACACGAACAGTGTGCAAACGATTTGCATGGTTTGAAGCTTTCGAGACTCCAGGAATCCATACTCTTTGGTTCTTTCGGTAAAGTCACGTGGGTAGAAATAAAATAATATAAAATATTATTTAGGTAGAAATAAAAAAAATGAAATGTTATTTACATTTTATATTCTGTTAAAATATTTTTTTATATTGTTTTATTTCCGCCTACGTGACTTTACCGAAAGAACCAAAGATATGAGTTGCATGGTATCAACGGCCACGGTTGAAATTCACCTTGCAAGTTGTCAGGTATCTCGTAATTTAATGCCAAAGGATGAGTAGGCAGTCCTGCAATTGCCGGCACGCGTCACTGCAGGGACGAGCTCTGGAGAGCCACCCTAGAGACGGTATTTGACCTCATCCACACACCTGGTCAGGCGTCTCGGGAAGAGGTGGGAGTAACGAAACGCCAATTTATTTAAACATCGTTTTAACTGGCGCACCGGTGAGATCGATTTCTGGGGACCCTCTGCGATTGCAAGTCCAGAATGCGAAGCATGACACCGCTGCAGCATGCAGCACCCCGAATGCATAGTGTTTTATTATGCAATGTTATGCGAGCCAATTACAGTCATAGCTCGGTATACGACCGCTTTGGAATACGTCGAATTTGGTAAACGTCGTGTTCTGACGAGAAAAAAATATCTTGGGGTACGACGTCTTGCTTGGGGTACGACGTCTTGGGATACGACGTCTTGGGATACG